CCCTCATGATGGAATTAGCCACCAGATGACCCCGCCCTCTAGGCCGAGCGGATTCTGAAAGTCGAAGTTTGCTCTGGCTGCTGGCTGTCTTCGTCTGATGAACCTGGTAGCAGCACATTTCCATGCGCTTCGGTAACCAAGCCCAAACAGGTCAACATCGTAAGCCTAGGCCGTAGCAAGCACAGTCTCCAGGAGCCCCTTTTGCCAGCAACCTCCATGTACCGGCAAGCTCCTAGGAATGAATTCGCCTCGAGCCCAACACTAAGGAACATAATGTAGGAAGTTGGCTGAAACAAACAACCACACCCACACCACCTCCTGTGGTCTCTGTATGCGTGGCGAATTATGGCATGGCAGCACGTAAAGGCAAAGTGCCAAAAGAGTACGAACAGCGACGCAAACAAGAAATCATTGAACACCACCACCACCACCACCACCACCACCACCACCACCATCATCCCCATCGGCAGCACCACGCTACCGCAGAACTTCCAGCACTGAGGGGCTACCGTTAGTTTTCGGGGAGGTCGGCTATTCGACCATACGGAGGAATCAAACAGGTCAGGTCAGGTCAAGCCCTGAGTTGAGAAGCATCTGGCGCGCTGCAAGACCCCTTGTGTCACCCCAGGGTAAAGACAAGAAGCATTCGTCCGAGGATGCACCTTCAGCTTGCGAGCTGTTGGCACAAGGCTACCGCAAATTATACCACAAGGCTGTGGGGGGTTAGAGGTTGGGCGTCAGCGACTCAGCTTTGTAAGCTCTGAGGTCTACGGGTGCCGAAGTGCACACCCAACATGACGGAGTCTTGCTGTTGGCGAACGCATCTCAACCGTATGCCTCCTCCACACTACCCGGACCCACCCCAACCAGTCCAACACAAGAAATCCAACAGTGCTGGAAGCACAGGATTAGAGCGAAAAGGCAAGGCATGGCAAGGCCGTAAAAACAAAACTCGAGAAGACAGTGTGTAGTGGTGCAGCATGCCGTGAAGCCGTACTCAACGAAGACCGCGTATGTCATATGCATCTTTGGTAGACTGACACACCGTGTCAGTCTAACCGACCATCCAACTGTAAGCTTGAAAAGCCCTGCACACTGACATCTGCAAGCGCTAAATCTGCAACTCTTATGGCCTCTGAAGCCACAACGGAACCCCAAATACCAGGCTCCGGACAGTATTATGGAGCAGAAGTGGGAGTTCTTTCAGCTACGACTTCGAAGGCCTTGAGGTCCGGCTCGTTGCTGATGATGAGAGCTTTCAAAGCCGGGTGGTACATCGTATAGTTCCTGTGAGCCGTGTTGAGGGCTTCGGAAGCTTAGGCTTCAGCCTAGGCCGGGGTACTCAATGAACTCAGGGTAATTAAAGTCGTTGTTGGGAGGTGCTGGCCAAAACTTGAACCAACCAAACCTGTCGGCCAGGAATGTGGAAAGTCGTTTTTGGAAGGTGCGCGGCTTTGAAGCAACCAAACCTGTCAGCCAGAATTGGGATAAAGTCGTTGTTGGGAGGTGCCGGCGCAATTCTGAAGCGGTCAGCCAGGAGCAGCCAGACCCGTCAAAAAGGATTGGGGTAAAGTCACTATTGGGAGGTGCTGGCACAACAAAACTTTGAAGCAACGAAACCTGTCAGCCAGGATTGGGGTAAAGTCGTGTTAGGAAGTGCTGGCGGCAGAGAACCTGTCAGCCAGGATTGGAATGAAACCTTTGCTGGGAGGTGCTGGCGCCGTTTTGAAGAAACCAAACCTGCTAGCCAGGATTGGGGTCGAGTCCATGCTGGGAGGTGCTGATACAAAAAAATGAGGCAACCAAACCTGTCAGCCAGGATTGGGGTAAAGTCAGTGTTGGGAGGTGCTGGCACGAAAAAACTTTTGAAGCAACCAAGCGCGTCAACCAGGATTGGGGTAAAGTCGTTGCTAGAAGGGGCTGGTGCTGGCGCCACAAACCTGTGAACCAGGATTGCGGTCAAGTCTGTGTTGGGAGGTGCTGGCGCAACTTTTGAAGCAACCAAACCTGCTAGCCTGCTAGCCAGGATTGGGGTAAAGTCGTTGTTGAGAGGTGCTGGCGCAAGTTTGAAGCAACCAAACCTGTTAAGCGACGACACGGATGTGCAGGTACAAAAAAAAATTGAAGCAACCAAACCTGTCAGCGAGGATTGGGATAGAGTCTGTGTTGGGAGGTGCTGGCGCTATTTTGAAGCAACCAAACCTGTCAGCCAAGATTGTGGTGAAGTCGGTGGAGGTGCTGGCGCCTTGTTAAACCTGTCAGCCAGGAATGGGGTAAAGTCGTTGTTGAGGGGTGCTTTGAACCAACCAAACCTGTTGGCCAGGATTGGGGTCAAGTCCGTGTTGGGAGGTGCTGGCACAAAAAATGGGAAGCAACCCAACCTGTCAGCCAGGATTGGGGTAAAGTCGTTGTCGAGAGGTGCTGGCGCCATTTTGAAGCAACCAAACCTGCTAGCCAACATTGGGCTAAAAACGTTGCTGGAAGGGTGCTGGCGCCATTTTCAAGTAACCAATGCTGGTGCCATGTTGAAGAAACCAAACCTGTTAGCCAGGATCGGGGTATAGTCGTTGTTGAGAGGTGCTGGCGCCGTTTTGAAGCAACGAAACCTGTTAGCCAGGATTGGGGTCAGGTCCGTGTTGGGAGCTGCTGGCACAACAAAACTTGCAGCAAACAAACCTGTCGGCCAGGATTGGGAGAAAGTCGTTGCTGGGCGGTTCTGGCATCATTTTGAAGCAACCAAACCTGTCAGCCAGGATTGGGGTAAAGTCTTTGTTGAGAAGTGCTGGCGCCATTTTGAAGCAACCAAGCCTGTTAGCCAGATTGGGGTCAAGTCGTCGTGGAAAGGTGCTGACGCCATTTTGAAGCTATCAAACCTGTTGGCCGGCGTCGGGGTAAAGTCGTCGTTGAGACGTGCTGGCGCCATGTTGAAGCAACCACAACCTTTAGCCAGGATTGGGGTGAAGTCTGCGTTGGGAGGTGCTGGCACACAAAAAATTGAAGCAACCAAAACTGTCAGTCGGGATTGGGGTAAAGTCGTTACTGAGAGGTGCTGGCGCCATTTTGAAGCAATCCGGGCTTGGGGTAAAGTCGGTCAAGTCGTCGTTGCTGATGAATGGAGCGCGAAGAGCACAAAGGAGAAAGCAACAAATCCAGGACGCTCAAACAGCGCAACACCAACAAGTAAACTAAACTGAATTTAACCGACTTAACCCTTCGCCCAAGGTGCCTGATGGTGAATCCTTTCTTCAGGTTGCCTCAGGACATGCAGCAATCGCATGCGAACCAACAAGTTCGCGATAAGACTCTAGGGCCAGATTACAGGGACAGCTGAACCACTCAGGTTCCTGCGTCCTGTGCACATAAAATTCCATCTCTGCGCAGAAAAGCCGTCTGCTTCACTTCGGAAGGCATTTCTGTGAATCCGAGAACCTGCCAGCGCCAAAATAAACCCAAAGCCGAGATGCTCATGTATGCCTCGTAGACCTGGTTGAAGCAATGCCAGCCATGCCTCGGCACGAGTTCGAAAACTCTCTGGGCTCACCCGCGACTCTACCTTCTGCTGCGAAACGTGTCTTGCAGTCCAGGTCTAGACTCCAGAGACTCCAGAGTCGAACCCGAGCGGGCATCGGAAGCCTAGCTCCCCAAGCGAAGTGCCACATCCTTGAAAAACCCGGCCTCATGGAGAAGAAGCAGTGAACGCCTCTATTGACTCATGCCTCTGCGAACCGGATAGATCGCCAGGTCCACGTGATCCTCCCAAAGCCCCTTCCACATAACCCTCGGAACGCCCTTTGGCGGCTGCCGGTGAGCATTCAGGGCGCAACATAAGCCCCCGAGCTTTGCGCAGGAGCGTGAAACCCTGATGGCACAAGCAGCCCACGTCAGTCTGAACAATGCTGCTGTGCACAGGCTGTCATGCTGTGAGTTGCTCTCGAAGTGAACTGCTGAGACATGGGCCGGCAGTTTGAGTTCTCGGTCGCCATTGTGTGCGATCTGATTCCTGTCGCTGTGTACGTGCCACATTGGGCGACGCGATCGTGAAACACGATGCCCTGAGGCCAAGCTACGACCAGCCCAGGAGGGCCCGGGCTCAGCATCAGGACATGTGTGAAACAGACTTCGCGGCAGGGCCAGGGCTCTTCTCAATGCGCTCTGGCGTCTGCAACTGACTCCACGAGGGCCATGGCGGTGAGGTCGGGGAGCTGGAAAGCGAAGTCGAGGAAACTCCCGTCTCCTTAGGTCATGGGCTCAGGACCTCAAAGCCAACATGCCCCGACAGCCCTCCAGCCTAAATTCTCAGCTACCTACAGTCAACGGGAACGGGGAGGATGGGGAGGACTAGTTGTGGCTCCCACGTGGCGCATCGGTTGACCCACATTGCAGATTACAAGTCTTCCAAGCTTCGCGCAGTACAACCACAAGGGAAGGCACAGGGACTATAGTGACTAGTGAGTGCATCACGTGTTTTCCGTACGAAAGTTGCTGGATCCAAGCTCCTTGGCGAGTCTGAGTCTGAGAACCCTGGTCCCTAGCGCATAAACAAGAGCCACGAGCCACAAGCACCGGAACCGGAGCCCGTGTCAAAGAGAAACGAGGACGAGGAGCTTCCACTTGAGCCGGCAGCTGTGGCCGAAAGTTGCCGTAGGCGAGCTTCTGGCTCTCCTTGAGCCGTTGGACGTTTTAAAGCCTTTGGACCCTCAGGGAAAGGTGGGTCAGTGTGGAATCATGGGAGACGAGTGCCACATCTGCTGAAAGAGATCAACTTCTGAACAGACGGACCCCACTGCCTACTCGCCAGCTGACCATCAGCTAGGCTGCAGATTGCCCGCTTGGAAGAACCGATACCCGACTTATTACACTGACCGCTTCAGCATCGCAACAACGACCTTGAGATCGGCAGATCGAGCCCAAGGTTTCAGTGACTAGAAAATTTCGGGTCTGGGGTTCCCTCCGCGGAAAAACGATCCGAAAAGTTGTGCGACCAAAAGCACAACTTTGCCTCAAGCGAATCGTCCCTCGGGCTCGAGAGACCTAAACTTTCTCAAAGCTTTGCAAGAGGCCAGCCGTGGGTGCTCGTTGTCCGTGCCCCGGAAAGCTTGCAATGGCGCACTTTTGCCTCGACGGTTCAGGTTCAAAGCAAGAGGCCCTCAGCCTCTATTATGTAAATAGCTGAGCACCACGCAAGTACTTAGACTAGTTGGGATCAACATCGGGGAATTGGAGGTAGGGCAGCGATGAGCAGCTCTGCTTGCCCAGATAAGCACCCGAGTCGCTGAAGTCACGGGCATGGAAATCGAAGTGGGCCGTGCTGGTCTTGGAGCCGGATCGGGATGCTGCCGGAGATTCTCCCGAGACAGAACGAGAAGGAGGCTTGGCTTGCCCATGGAGCGATGTCTGCACCTGGACTGCTCAAATCCATCGAAACCTAAAATTGCAAAAACGGCGCGATCTATGGATACAGCAGATTCTGCGGTTCTGAGGCTGTCCCCGTCCTGAATCGAAGAACACAGCGAAAAGCATGAATCCTCAACCTTGGCATGTCTCTGGGCTCGCCGAGCCACTCCGGGAAGCTGCAGGTGCGGGTCATAAGCCGCCGGAGACGGCTGCAGCCCGCTTCCTCTCGGCACTGACAGCTCGCGCATGGCCTCGGCGACGACTTTCCTCTACTAAGACGACAAGACGATGAAAGAGCTGCAACGGAAATATGCAAACCCAGTCTATCTTTCAGAGGGGCCGGGCGTCCCCGTTTTTGAATTCGGTGCACTTCGCAAGCTTTTCGCAAGGAATCCCGAGAGAGAAAGGCCCTGCCAAGCCTCGGAGACGTGATGTCTCCGCGGTTTCTGCGACACCAAGGGCTGCCTTGGTACATGCGAAACTCAGAGAGATCGGGGGCCCCGGGGGACGTCTGCACCTGGGTGCTGCACAGCTGCTCTATACTGCTACAACTGCTGCAGCTTCTCACTTGGTTGTGTAAGGAATTCCGGCTGCGACGAGACGTACTGATGCTGCTACTGACTTCCAGTTTCGCAGGATCACATCACAAGATGAATTATCTAGACCAGTTGCAGAAGGACAGACCGCGCAGAGTCGGGACTCTCTGTCTCCAGCAACAAGGATGCGGGGTGCTCCTGCCAGCAGCCCGACACTTGTAACTACGGGCTTGGGACTCCCTACAGTAGCCGCTAGCCGCCAGCATCTTGTCCTCGCGCTTCCTTCGGTTCCGAGCGCCGTGTCACTAGTCTTCTGATGCCGACGTCTCTCAACAAATCCAAAAAAACAGGCTGTGTTTCCAATCAGCCAACCTACGAGAGTTTTCATTGGTCCCTATGTTTCTGCAGATGTCTAGCCGTTTTGCTGCCTTCGTCGCGGCCGCAAGGGGGACCCAAAAATCCCGCCGGCAGCCCGCAGATGTTTTGCGCTTCACGTCAGAAACAGGCGGTGCATTGCTGTGTGTAATCACGTTTGCCAGATTGATGCCATCTTTTCACCATGCTGTGCTCTTTCTCCAAGTGGTTGCGGATCCTGAACATGACAAGGAAAACGCCGAATGAGCACCGAATGGCATGGGGCATGGCGACAGCAGATTGACAACAAGGCGAAGGAAGTACAGCACATGCTTCGGACAAAAGAAATCCTCCAGTGCGGCGATGGTTCTCTGAAGTCGTGTTGATGATGGCAAGTTGATGGGACTGTTGAGCACCCGTATGTAACCCTCCAGACCCGGATTTCCGGGGTCAGATCTGCCGGTGATTAACAGATTGACATATGTGACAGTCCGCCTTGAAACAGCATCAACCAGCAACGCGACATCTGATTGTCCTGGCCGAGCATGTGCACGATTCGCTTCTTCCACAGCGCCTGTGCAGGACTCTTGGACTCTTAGGGGATTTGGGGGTGAACTCACTAACTAACTCCTGTTTCGGAATACGACTTCAGTGCAAAGCCACGCCCGCGGAGTCGGGGCTGGTGGAATCTTCAAGCCGCCAGCCGGGAACGTCGTACTGTGCTCAGCCGAGGCACTCGACTGAAAACTGATCACCACCACTCGAAGCAACTTGGACTTGACCCAATTAGAACTTGCAGCGGGGGAAGGGCGCAAGGCTTCTCCAGCGTTCGAGCTTCTTCAGGCTCCCAGGCTATGTGACACGGGTATAGGGCAACCATGCGAAAGCGACCCGTACGTTCGCTGGACGCTGAAGTCCTAATCGACCTGCACTCCCACTCCCTGAAACCCTCTGAATCCCAATTGCCAACATCTGCTCAACTTCAAGACTCTTGGCGCCCAGGCTTTTCATAGTGCTGAGGCTGCCTCACAGGTCGTCTCTGTGCGAGTCTGGCAATGGTGAGCCGAGGTCCGTGAAAGGCAGGTCTGCCAGTACCAGGGCCACCAGTGCAGTCCAGCCTGCGAAGGGCGCGGCCCCGGTGCCCTTGCCGGTGTCTGGATCGAAGTTCTCCATTAAGAAGCGTTGCTCCTGCAAAGCTTTCAGGACAACACCCACGAAGCCCTTCTTCAGGGAGTCGAAGGCGTCTCTGGCCTCCGGTAGCTCCCGAGAGCACCTCTGAAGTGCGGAGAGGCTCAGATAGTTCAAGTTCGCCCAAATCTTCCCACGCCAGTAATCCTCGCCCTGCCGGTTCAAGGGGTCCTTGCGAGAGAGCGACCTGACGCCGAAGGGGCTCCAAAGCTCCCCCGTCTTCGGCGCCAAGGCTTTCAGCAGCTTGGCGGCTCTGGGGTGGTCGCAGGGCTGATGTCCCAACAAAAGAGGGAAGAGCGAGACGTAGCCCAGGTGCGGCGAGAAGGCCTTGGCGAAGGCCATGGCCGTCGTCTGACTTCGCTCCTCGAGCTTCGCGAAGCGCCTGCAGCCGGGACACTCGCAGAAGTCGGGGGATCCGCCGCACCAGCCAGAAGGCGAGCAGCAGGGCGCGCCTCCGTACGGGTCGCACTCCCCTGGAGACCCGGCCACCGGGAACTGCGGGCCACATCGCCCATCGGATCGCCAGGGCGGCAACACCCGGACCTTCCCACTGCGCTCGACCGGCTGAAGGCCAAGGAAGTCTGCCAAGGGAGCGTTTTTCGGGGCCTTGGGGTCCACGAAAACCTCAAAGAGGCTCGCATTCAAGGCCGCTGCCCGCTCGGACCATCGAGGCACAACGCACCAGGCACTGTTTGCCTCTTTGCTCAAGGCCGAAGATCCTTCTCCTTCTGCGAGGTGCTGGCAGAGCCGGGCCAGCGTCCTTGCGAAGAGGGCCATCCAACTCTGTAAGTCCAGGTGACACTCGTCCTCGTTCACCAGCAAACCACGAGGGTAGTCGTCCAAGCCGCTGGCCAAGCAATGTGCAGCCGTGCGGCCCTGCCAGCGGAAGCATTTCGAGGGGTGCGAAGACTTCTGGCTCCTTTCCAGGAAGGCAAACCAGGCTCCCAGCCTGGGCAGCGCTTGAGCGCTGAAGGACAGCACCAGATCTCGGAGCTCCTTCTTGGAAAGCCCGGCTTGCTTTGCAAGCTTCTCATCTTCGACGGAAAGGAGCCAGGAGAGGGGAAGGAGGAAGCTGGGAGGGTTCGCGACCTTGGAATCCTGCGTCAAGAACTGCTTGGGCACTCGCCTCTCTTGCTCTGCTCCTAAGGGCACTTCACGAGGGATCCAGCCGTTTTCCTGCTGAAGCTCCAGCCAATGCCCCAGCACCTCCAGGAAGATCCGCGGTTGCCACCGGGCCAACAACAAGCCGTGGAAGCCCTCATCCCACAGGAAGCCCCTGGGAAAGAAGGACCTACTGGGCACTCCGGAGAAGAGCACCGAGCTCCGCAGCCGCACCGGCTTTTCTCCCTCTTCTGTGCGTGCCAACAAACGGCCACGGAAGGAGCCGAGGCCCCCTAAAAGGCTCGAGAGAGCCACGGCCACGCCTTCGAAGGCTTCCGCTTTCAACTCGCTCTCCTTCGCTCCCTTCGGCTTCAGGAAAACCTCGGCGACATGCGTCTTGAAGGCCTCGGAGCTCCTCTTCGCAAGCTCCGCCAACCGAAGGCTTTCAGCATCGCGTGCTCCGAGGTCAGCGGAACCGAAGGCCACGTGCGCATCGATCCGAAGTCCGGCCAAGGGGCCCGCGAGCTGAAATGCAGCGAAGTTGGCGTCCCGGGCTTCCGAGTCGGGCAAAACACGGATTGTTTTGGTGCCCTTGCTTGCGTTGATGGAAACCCGCTTGAAGTGCTCCTGGAAGTGCTTCCGAGCATCCCACACTCCTGTGAGGGGAGGGTCCTCCTCGCTGCTCTCCACCTCGTGGGGCACACGAGACGACAGCTGATGGAATCGCGCCTTTCCTTGGTTCGGGCGCGGCACGTGGGATTCCAAGCAAAAATGCCAGATACAAAAACAAAACAAGCATAGTATAATAGTATTACTGGGTGTCCCAAGAGTCGGGCCCTGAAAGAGAGCCGGGCCCGAAAGGGCCCCGAAGGGTCGGTGCCGGCCAGCACCAGCGATCTACAGGAGAAGTCCCCACACGCCTCCCACTCCGAGTCTTGGGAAACTACCTCTAGCCTGTGCTCTCCCGACTCTACGCCCAAGTACAGGAACAAAGACATGGGCCGCGTGGAGCTCGAGTTCGAGCCGTTCGAGCCGTTCGAGCTCGACAAGGTCTCGACATCCACGCGCGCGTGCAGCTTCTGGTGGCCCTCCTTCACAAAGGTGGTCTGAAGCTTTGCTTGCAGCTTTTGGTCTTCGATGATCTGTCGGCCATAGTTGCGGCCGTCGTGCCTTGGAATAATCGCGATAAGGCCGCCATGATGATGGGGACTTATGGGGCCCGTTCTTTCGGCTTTTGGCAAGAAAGAAGCGAAAGCAACCTAAGCATCGTGCTCCAGCCAGTTGAAAGATTGGAGCTCCCCGGACTCGCACTCGTGGCGCAGAGTCTTCCCATCCATCGAGCCCCAAGCGAGGCCCAGCAGAAAGGAGCCAGCCTGGGAGCTGCCGTCAGAAAGAAAAAGAAACAAAAATGTCCACCTATCCAACAGGAGCTGACAAGGATCTGATCTGAGCTGGAGCTCTAGCCTAGGCTGTCAATGGCTGCGCCCAGCAGCATGTCGGCCTTTGATGCCGAAGTAGACACCCGGCCGGTAGGTTCCGAAAGCCATCTCTGACTTGTAGGCATCTGGGAAGAGCCGTCGGTCCTCCACGAGCTCCGGTGCATTTGTGAGGTCAAAGGACAAGGCCGAGGAATCGGATCCCCAAAGCCAATCAAACCAGGCTCCGGTGGGAGACAGCAGGACAAATAAGCCGGTCAGTCGCATCGCTTTCGCCATGGTCCCAAAGAGATCTTAATTAAATAAGAAGCATCCTGAATCCTGAGGTCCTAAGCCTAAGCCTCCGCAGCACTCCGGCAAACATGACTGGCCTCCCTGCGAAAACTACCCAAAGCTGAAGTTCTCCTGGTTATGCGTCGAGAGGCGAGATATTCATCCCTGGAATGCCTGTGCTACGGCACTCAATCTCATCTCGCGGGCAACACGGCCACGGATCCATCACAAGGCTTACATGAAGCAGTCGTTTTTCCGAACCCGAGACCCCTCTTCTCTGCTGCTTGGCTGCTTTGGTTCTGAACCCTGGTTTTATTGCCTAGCGTTCGAGGGTGTGGATCTGGCCTGTCTCGAGAGCTCGCCTTGTGCCTGTATGCCGCTGAGCACGGGCCGGAAGGCGAGGTAGTGCCAGAACCTCAGAAACGGTGCAGTGTTTCAGGTGTGCCGTCTAAAGCTTGGTTCCGGGCTGGATTCAAGCTTTCAGCATAATGATGGGCTTACTGGAGGCTCAGAGCTTTCCGTTCGCCATGTCTGCTTCGATGCATGCAGCAGTTGGTGCCAATGGTGCCAACAAATCGACCCGTCTTGCCAAAAGCAGAGTCCCGTCTACTGTCGTGAGTCGCTGTTTGCGACAGGGATCGGTTCTCAGTTTGGCCCATCTGCAGCTCTCTTGGTCAAAGCACAACAAACCAAAGCACTTCGCTGAAGCCTTGGGCGATCAACCATCAACTTCCAAACCTGCAACCCCAAAGCCTAAAGTAACAGAACCGACAACTGTTCGGCCGGTAGGGTGGCTGGTTGGTGTCGCGCTGGATCATGCCCATGGTGCTGTCCATCTCTGCCTCTGGATACACCTTCAGCTCCTGCCAGACTGGAACAGTCCCGGTCCTGAACGTTCTGTCAGAAGACTACAGCTCGGTTCTGCGATGCTCATAGGCTCTCTGATCCTCTACTCAACAACGGGTTGGCCTGAATCTCTGTGAATCCGCTTGGGCCCGGCCCAACCCCTGAATTGGCTAAGCTTGCCGCAAATTTCTCAGGCTATAACCTTAGAACCAAACCACTGTCCTCAGCGCTGGCATCTTGGGGTATGGCCTCCGTTCAGCGTCCACGCTGACTTGAGACTTCTCTCTGACAACGACTTCAGGGATGTCGCGAGGGTTTCAAGGGCTCAGGGTATGAAGTTAACAAGGATTGAGCATCGCAGCACCTGAATCATTCTGTCCGGCACACAGGCCACATTTCTTACAGTGCAGACCGCTAGCCCTCCCTCCTGGTTTGCTGAAAGAGCCCTGGCTCACTTCTCGGGGCTTTGGCTTGGACATAGATTGGGATCTCAGAGACTGCCTGGCTCGAGGTCGAAAGACCCAGACTCAGGTGCCAAGTCAGATTCCGCATTTCTGGGATGGCCATGGTCGCTTTCTTTTCTGCCACGGAAGACTTGAAGACAGACAGGCAAAACAAGAAGAGCCTCATAGGCGCTCCGTCGGCCAGGCGTATGGCGCCTCAGCGCCTGTTGGGGCTTGTAAGTCTAGGACTGTAGGATGTAGGGAATGTAGGGTCTAAGAGTCTGCGGCATAGAATTTACAGAGTATTTCAAGAGATTTGCGGGGGAGTTGTGAAAACACCTGCAGGACCTGGTATCACAACAGTGCTCGGTTCACGGTTGGAGCTGGTTTTCCGTTCGCTCTCGAGTGGTTTTGGGGCCGCAAAAAAAGTCACAGTAAGGTTTGGGGCGCTACTGCTATGCTAGACTGTCGTCATGGGCGGACGATAGCGGGAAGTCAGTGGTAATCACTCCGGTCTCTGTTGGCTCTTCATCTCCAACGAAGTAGCAGCGACACCTCTCGAACCCAAACTGAATTCATGTCGACTGCTAAACTCGCCTTAGCCACAGACCCGTAAGAACACCAGAAGACCGACGTAAAGATTGCAGAAAGCTGGACACAGCCTTCGTCGCGGCATGTCATCAATATCCCCTTGCGGCTCTGCCCTTGCCACCGTTGCCACCTACCCTCTCTTTCAAGGTACGAGGGTATATGGAGCTTCGAACTTAGACACTTAGACCCAAAAACGTGTGCCTCTGTTGAAGGTTAGTACCTCGGCCCGGGCTCCCCAACACCCCAGCTGCGCCTTCCGCAGGAAGGTGCGGAACTCTGCAATGTGGCCCTCAAAGAAGGCCCAATGGACGTGGTCCACGTGGCCATGCTTCATAACCTGGTCTTCTAAAGTTAAGCGCGTTGGGGGGGGGAACAAGTTACAGCCTGACAGGTTTGAGGATCGCGCTTCGCGGTTCTTCAGGATCTGTATACCGCCAGCGATTGCCCGAATGTGATTCTACGCGCGTGTCGCCATCGTCCTCGTTGTGAGTTTGTCTTCTAATGACCGGGACTGTGCAACTGGACGAGCAGCTGACAAATGCATCACAGCAAGATCATGTCATAGCATTCGCACCATCACGCCGTCCTAAGCGCAACTTGACGGACAGTTTGATCCTAGGCATCTTCCCGTCTCACCACATGGGAACCAGCATCACAGCATCATCGGAGCTCAGCAGCGCTGACCTCGAAGACCCTTCTTTGCGGCTTGGAAGCCATTCCTTCGGCGATGGCTGCCGGGATTGGAAGCCAGCAGAAGTAGTCCTGCGAGGGCACGTCATGCCCGACCCTCCAACCACTCTGCGTGACTCCCGCTGCCAAGCATCAAGCATCATGCGGGACCCAGACTGGTTTCAACCCAGCCCACAGTTACACTGTCACCCAGCCATGGACCTCATCTATCTGGGAAACGGACTGGACTTGCTGGCATCAGGGTCCGAGATTGAGAGCTGTCGATGAAACCCGCACGCAAGGGCTCTCTCGCTGAATCACTCGCGGAACCACTGATCCAAGGCGCCCTAGCAGCAACCGCCCCGAAGCACTGCCACACAAAGTCCTAAGGACGAAACTCTTGTTTTGCTCATCTCTCTCGCACAATCCCCCGAATCCACGAACCTTCAAGTCGCAAGCGTAACTCCACTTCGCGACAAAGACCTGCTCGCGCCCTTGTAAGCCTCACAGGCCCTCCCATCCCATCCCTAAGCCCCAGCCTCAAAGTGGATTGGCGGGACCAAGGGCGGCTTGTTCTTCCAGAACTTCGAAGTTTCCGAGCAGCTCGGGCAAACCTGTGGGCACACGCCGCTGCGAGCAGCCTAGGGTTCCGAGCAGCCTACAGTAGGGTTCAGGGTGTCGTAGAGAGGCTTTGAGGAATGCTTTGTTTGCCCTCCCCAAGGGGTCAGGCCTTGGCCAAAGTCCTCCTCAACATGCTCCGACGGTTTTCGCAGAGCCTCGGATCTGCTCGAGGCCCCCCAAACAGGAGCTGAGATAAGATCAGAGATACCACGATAAACGGTCAGAAATAAGTACTATGATAGACTTTTGCATGATCGTCATTATGACGCAGTAAGGTAGACCAAACTGTAGGAGTTACAGCAACATGTACTAGAGTATTTTGCAATCTGTGATGTACTGCAATATACAATAGAAAACCAAGAGGCAAGCTCGAAGAAGTACTCCAAGCAGATCTTGAAATTGTGATCCGTTCAGGGGTCCAGAAGATCAGCAGAAGACCATTAGACAGATAGGTAAATAGATAGGTATATAAATAGATAGCTTGGGCAGATAGATCGACAAATATACGCAAATACGGATATAGTAAACTGGTCGTAACATACTTTCGTGACCTTAGAGCAGAGATTCTAGCGACCTCTACCAGTCCCAGAGGCTCAATGGCCAACTGTGCACCCACCTCGAGCTCATGCAGCTGCTGCAGGAGGTTGATGTCCTCGCTGCGGTGTTTTTGGGCTTCGGAGGTTCACACCATTTCTTCTCACAAAGTGCCAGAAACCGACAGTGCCCTCCCAGGCCCAGGAAGCGTCTAGAAGCTCGTCGATACTAGGGCTTCCAAAAAGCTGGTTCACACACACACACCCACACATCATGCAACGCAATGCAGCCACCCGACTGCTTACGGCGGCTCAGTATGACCTGAATTGACCTAAACCTCCCTGCAGCAAACAGCTGCAAAAACGGCAGCGAAGGCTTGCGGAAGCCCCTGTCCGTGTCGTCATCGCCCACGGGGTTCTCCATCATCTCTGCTAGCCTCTCCAGGCCAGACATTGCCTCAAGTCGCGATGCTTGCTTCAGCGCCCGTGAGGAGGATCCGTGTCTCTGAGATCTCTGGCGTTGATTTCAGGTTTCCGATCTCTGCCACCTAGGAGGCCTACGACCTACGGCTCAGCATTCCTCAGCCCTGACTCTCAAAAGCGCACAGGTCGGCCGTGCCGGATCTCTGGTGCCAAGAGCAAGGGGGACGCAGAGAAACGAACAGCAACACAGCACAAACACTACACACAGAAGCAGAATGCCTTGTAACAGCAGCACAATCCTGGCGGATGCTACTTCTATTACCGCCTACCACCACCATGACTGCCACGAAAAGAAACCAATATCATAATCATCCTCAGAAGATTACATATTTGCAAGAAAGAACATGAGCAGTAGCAGTAGCAACAAGAGTTGCAGTAGAAGTAGCGATGGCGGTGGCAGTAGCAGTAGCAGTAAAGGTAGGAGCAGGAGCAGCAGTAGCAGTAGCAATACTGGTGGTAGTAGTACTAGTAGTATTAGTAGTACTAGTAGTACTAGTAGTACTAGTAGTACTAGTCATGCTAGTAGCGCTGGTCGTAGCCGACGACGACCAGTGATAGTCGGAGGGGAAGTGAGTAGTAGTAATAGTCGTCGTCGTAGCAGTAGTAAGATGATGATGATGATAGCGGCCATTTGCCACTGAACATTCTCGGCCCAGCAGCCCAGTAGATCACGAAGGGGAAGACAATGTTGTCAAAGATGCTGCCGAGCAAGTCCTCCCCAAAGTCTCCCCGAACCCGGAAGATCTTCAACACTTGCCTCCTCTGACTCCCCGCGACATTCGGGAAGCGCTTGCTCCCGAAGCCGGACAAATCGAAAAGCCCGAGAACCCTTCCAGGGCTCTGTCTGCGGTCCTCACCCACCTCGGTAACCAAGGGAAGCATGAAGCTGAAGATGACCACGATGACGCGGCAGTGCTGGTAGTATGCCAGCGAAACGGGTCGCGCGATTAGGCCCGACCTTGGCATTGGAGCTATGGGCTGAAAGGGTCTGTGCTGTCAACAGGCCCCTTCTAGCTGACTGCAGCCGGCGGGCAAATGCGTCAGCTGGTCCAAAGCATCGGCAGAGATGCTCGCAATGAGGTTGAGAACACGCTCAGGGTAACCCCACTTCTGCGCCAAGGGCGTGTGGCAGGTCTCTACCAGCATACTGAGGATGACCTTGGGCAACGGTGGGATGATGTCGCTGCTCTGCGGCACGAAGCAGCAGTCCTCCTCCTCGTTGTTCCCGGCCTCGGGCTGGGCTGACAAACTCTCTGCTTCTCTGCATCCCTGCAACTGTTCTCGGGAAGCATGCCCTGGGAGGTGCAAGTCTCCGACCCAGAAGGAGAGACCACAGAGACAAAGACAGAGAGAGAGAACGGCCCAGCATTCCCTTCCCCAACCACAGAGGTGAACAGCAGCGATGCAGGTCCGATTTATGATCTCAGCTGAGTGCGACTTCTTCTACAGGGACGAAATTGTCCAAAAGCCTCCTGATTTCTTGTGTTTCGAACCCAAAACTGCCAGTGCCACAGCGTTCAAGGCCGCTGCCCTAAAGGCTTGAACCGTGCGAGGACCAAATCCCCCTCAAAAACAAGGCGAACTTCAGAAACTCGAGGACATCGAGTTGAAAGTTTGGGTTGGCGAGCTGAAACACGCAAAATCCTAAACACCCTCGAGAGAGAAAATGCCTTTTGCGTCCCCTGGCGTCCGAACACGAACAAGAGAACCTCCCTGAGACACTAAACCCTCTAAGTGGAAAGCCGAGGACTTGCAAACCCGCCCGTCTACGGGTTATAAGAGCTTTGAAAGCACTGGGGGCTTCAGATGTCCCCCTTTGTTTTGAATCCTTTTGCTTTTCCGGGTGCCTTCCGCGGGCGCATGAGCAGGCCGGAACACTGCGCGGCAATGCGGAAGCGGCCCGTCTCGGCCCGGTACTCTGCCTCCGGCCGGAGCTTCTGGCGGTGAGCAAACACGGGGCATGGAGAAATGGGGAGAAGCAGGGAGCTTTGCTTCAGCTCCTGCAGTTCTGGTAGGAGATCCGGCCTGCCTCACGTTCGCTTCTCGCTTCGCTCGAGACATCTTCTGGAGGTCAGGGTCGTTTCCGGGTTTTAGCCCCTTCTGCGCTGCGCACCCTGAACCTCCGCACCCCTTTCCGTACTGTACTCGTCCTTCTTACGGCTTGGGGCTTTCCTGCGGGGGCTCGTCTGACATCCTCGGCTCCACCGGAAGCTACTTCCTGACATCCTAATTTCCAAAACTTCAAGCCTCGACCCTATAAGCCTAAAGCTTCTAACCCCCCAAGTAACAGCTGCTTTTGCTACATCACCCTGCAACATGGCCTCCGAACCAGCTGCGCCATCCGTCTCACGGGAGATGCCCATGTACCTGGGCTCTAACGAACTTTTGCACATAACTTACATCTTATATCATTCTCGGCATGATTTCGACTGTACTTTGTGCTTCTGTAGCATGATTAGCACCAGTGCTGCTAGTTGCTGTCACCGTTGGCACTGTGACTGCGATTGCAAGCTGTCGCTAATTCCTTTGCCACCATTCTTCTTGCTAGCGCTATAGAACCATGAACACTTCTACTTTTGCTATAGCCACTGACTTAAAGATCGAAGTCTAAATCCATGCAATTGAAACTGGCATTTCTCACCAAGGCTAGATGCTGGTCCACCAGCTCCATCTCCTTGATGCTTTGCTTGGGGGGGTCACTTGGAGTAAAAAATGGCGCCTGCATGATCGTATGATAAGACAACGTAGAGTTTGAGGGGATACTTGTAGTATTTCTATACAGCACACTATCAACGGTTCCGATCCCTATTTCATTGGGGGTTCTCCAAGAGTCTGGAAGTTCGAAAGCTCCTGTAAATTAGGGTTGTCTCACTTCCATACGGTACTAGACAGATTGTGGAGTCCCTCTTGACAAGGACTTTTTGACGCTCACACTCGGCAAAACCAGGCGAGGTCTGCGGAGAGACTTAGGTTCGAAAGGCTTCGCGTAGGCTAGACACGGCGTGTGGTGTAGAGCCTGTGTTTGTTTGTCCTTGATAAGGATTAAGGCTACGGGCCCATAGTTCCAATACCCTAAACCCCTAAGCATCAAGAACCCTTAAACCCCCAAACCCTCAAACCCGAATGCCCCGGATGTCCTCTTCGTAAAGCAGAGCCTGCAAACGGCTGTGCAGAAAAACGATCTGCACGAGATCCTCCTCTTCGAGGACGCCCTGGGCATCTGCCTTGAATACACTTCGGCTTCTTGCGAATTCAGTCAGAGTTGGGCTTGGGGGGTACATCATGTCATCATGTAACTTGAGAAGAGGGCCACGAAAGCTAGGGCTAGGGCAATCAAACTCGACAGATGTGATGTCGCTCTTGCGTTATTTGCACAAACTCTCGGCAGGGTTCCACAGTGCTGAAAGCCTGCAAGATGATGCCTTCAAACCTGCCAAGCCGACACACTCGACGGGGGAAAACAAATTCAAGTCCCTAAGCATGCATAGATGGCAGGTTGATGCAATAAACCTGCATAAGTAGACATAACGTGCAGAAGTCAAGAAAACCCAATGCAATTCGCGAGCAACGTCAACCGCAAACAGCACAACCGCAAGGCCACACTTCCTGCATTTGCCGTGTTGCTAATCGGGGCGCTTGTGGGCAGGGTCTGAACCAAATCATTTGCGTGGTGGTGTGGGGCCCTCCCTCCACCGGGGTTAGTGTTGTCACACCTAATCACGAAGTTGACCTGCTTCACTGTTACGACAAGTCCCGCAAGCTCCACAGAGCCAGCTTTCGTGATATAGCATACTTACATGGGGCAACGGAGGCGATATCAAGACGGATAGAATGCGCGATCTGGATTTGTCATGTTAGGGCCTAGGGTTTGTGGTTGGGGGGGAGCCTGACGATAGAGATTTACTGGCTCCGGTCAGGTGTGGACAAAATGGCAGGGACTTAAGCGTATAAAAAGGCATCGAGCCGTTGTTAGTGCAAATCTTGAGAACGCAAAAGCAGGAGACAGAGCCATGCAGATGAGCAGTCAACTGTGATTCCCCAGAACAGTATGGACTGCTATTGCTGGCTACCAAAGGGCGCCTTCCCTCAATTCTGAGACCTGCAATTACACCTCGCAGAGACACGAACAGAAGGGAGGGGCGGGGGGGGGGGGGGGGGGGGGGGGGGGAGGGGCGACACTTGCAGAACCAAGAAAAGCTTTGAACCCCGAAACCGCACGAGGTCCACCTCGAGTAGATCGTTTCCGTTAGTGATGGACCTATATGTAACATCCTGATTCTACCTGTATAGTGATTCGAGCTCCCTGAGCCTACTGTGGGAGGCATCTCACAGTGTATACAGTGTATACACAAGTACAGATGTGAGTATACGCTATAACATAAGATAGCGAAACCTAATTAATGTGTATATAAACTTTGCCTGTGCACGTGTTTGTCAACGAGAGTATATCATGCATCGTCTTGTGAAAGTAACACAGCTGCCAGTAAACGTTGTGTTGTGTTTATTAAGTATCATCGTCGAAGCTGCGAGGGCCGTAAGGATGCGAAAGTACAGCAAGCAGCTGACGCCAAAGGCAATGGTTAGCCGCACGACATGGATTCGCACCATACTTGCCAGCTCTCCATGCAACCTGAGTAGATGCGCTTCTGTCGAGCTTGAGGGTCTGGCTGCTAGATGCATAGAGGTATAGAGGATAGGGCAAGCGAAGATGTCTTGAGATCCCCGGTCCTGCAGCCCCAATTGCCAAACCATATGCCCCAAACGCCCCTAAACGAGAACATTCGAGGAGCTTCATGATCCGGATCTCCTCCTCCGAGTGCACCCGATGGGGGTTCAGCACCAGATCATGCCTCGATTCAAGGACTGGGGCAGTCAGGATTCAGTGCGATATGGATGTAAAAACCCAAGCGTGCTGGCATAAGTCTAGGCGGTTCTGGTTGTCTCAAACCTTACATAGCCAAAGCTTAGCCGTAGCCATAGGTGCAAGCAGTCTTCCTTGGCACCCTGCATGAAGCTGCAGACTGAATGGATCAAAAAATCCAGCTCGCCGAACATCTCGTCTGTCCTCTCAGTGGCCTCGTTGTTCCGGGCCATGGACTGGTTCATGCGGAAGACCAGCAGGAACACGGTCAAACTTCCCAGCATCGAGAGGCCACTTGTGGAAGACTCGACCCGGAATATCGGCCACTTGGACTGGGCCCAGAAGAGGGCGACTAAGAAAAGCAAGTAGAGCACGGAATTCAAGATCAGATGCCTGTTGATGCCGCCCCACCAATACAGGAGCGTCTGGAACGCACCCTTCGTGTAGCGAATCATGGCTTCTACGAATACAAGGCCTGTGGCAAAGCCCCGGGATCAGAGTTGCTTTGGCTGTGAGACTGGATATGGATGCCGGGTCTTGGCTGGGAACATGGGTTGGCTGACATCTTGGCTAAGGACACAAGGTCTCTCAATTGACGCTTGTTAGATTGGGCCCGAAAAAAACAGCTGGCCCTGAAAAAGCAGGGAAGACTTTCGAGCCAAAGGTGTAGCGAGCAAGCGCGCGGTCTTGCTCTTCGCCAACAATTGTACCGTATAGTCTGGAGAATATACATTGATGGAACAGATACATAACATAGAGAGAGACAGAGAGAAAGAGACAAAGAGGATGATGATGCTGGGGTCAAAGCTTATTAACATGAGGTCCGGATCCGTTTTGTGACAAACAAGATGCTTCAGACCATGCAATCCATTGAGCTGCCTAGTGAGTCCTTGATGCATGCCTCAAGCTGCCAGAAGAAGACTGCACTGGCTCAACAAGCCTTTCCGGGCATAAGAGCACCGGGAATGGTGCCGGAAAGACAGCGAAACCTGCTTGTGCTTGTCGGTACAGGCTTGTCGGAAGCTATTGCAAGACTTACCCAAGTTTCTGGGTGGAAGCCATGTCAACTAGATTCAGATACCCGGGCAGAACCATATCATGCAGAAAATATGGCCTGTGGGTCTCTGACTTCCCTTGCTCTGGGGCCGCGGCTTGTCGCAGGGATCGGGGCCCTGAATGAAGCCTCGAGACGTAGAGCCGAAGCTACAGGCGACAGAAACAGGGAGGGGTCTTGAAAATTTGAGAACCTGTATCTTCAGCAACGACCTTATCAAGCGGAGGACGACGGTTATGGCTATGGTTGGGCTCGGCACTGCAGAGCCTGACTGGCCGAGAGCTTCGTCGACAGCAGTGAACGGTTTTCAAGAAATGCAGAGTTTGCTATCCTGAGTACTAGCAGAGTGAGTAGTGAGTATTCGTTGACCGTCTTCGGGACACCTTTCCGATTCCGGGAGGCCCCAATCACTCAGTCCGACGATGACGTCGATGTCCCTCTTCCAGGCACCATCCAGGAAGGACCGGTGACTGTAGTTCCTCAGTGTTACGGATCCTACCGGTGTTGTGTCCCCCGCATGAACAGAACAAATACAGTAATTCATGGAACTAGAGCACCGCAGAGCACTTCTTGCGAAAAGTGACGGAGATTCGTGATTAATACTTCCTGTGAAGCCATCTTGCAGGGATCAATCTACAGAGGGCTCAGCACCTCAACTTGGAGCTGTCGTGGACTCAAAGTCACCGCGCAGCGTTCGGAGAGCTCGGGTTTTGGACTTGCCGGACCGTTCCGGGCCATGGTTGGGGATGCGAGCTTGCAGCCAAAGAGCAAGTCGTTTCCGTACATCCGGAGCCTCAAGACTCAAGATGACAGCAAAGACAAAGCCCTGCAAAAAGAGCCTTGCTATCAGATTCCAGAACCAGCATGCAGGATTTCTGAAACATGGAGCACTAGGATCAACCAGGTAGGCCAAAAGTGCACAGGTGTTTCCTCAACCCTGCCAGATTTCGAGGACATCTTTGCCAAGAAACGTGTTCACCCCCATGGATGCCAGGACGTCCAGATCCCCACGCCCCCAGCTGTCCCACATCGCTCCAGTAATGTCCTGAGCTCACTGTCGCAAGCGGAGCTCTTCTCATGCCGCAGTACGGCCGCATGGCACTACGTTCCACCATGCTCCAACATTCCGTCGCCTGAAATCTTCTGAGTGGGCCTAGGCCCCACTGCTCCAATGAGATCTGCAAAATTCAAGGCTCTCTGCGACTCCATTCCACCCAAAGCTACAGTGTTCAAAGCTGACCGGCAAAGAGTCAGGGGAGACTCCGATACTGAGAGCCTGGCCGTCATGAAGTCGTCGTCCGTCAGCAAAACTTTCGTGGACTTCAGAGGCGACCTCAGCGGTGGAGCCAAGAGGGCACTGACTCATAATGTATACCATATAAAATATGGATATATATTATAACATATTCTATATACATATATAATGTATAATATATAATATTCAACATGCAATATACAATATACAATATCTATAATACTATGTCTATATATATATATATATATTATACGCACACATAATATGTAGCATATAATGCCTCAGGCTTCGCCCACCGGCCCGGCTCCAGGGTCGCGGCGCGCCGTAGGAGACGCCCTTCATGGCGTACTCGCGGGAGGATCGGTAGGTCGGCTCTGAGTAGACGTCGTACCTACCGCGACTCACGGAAGAGCCGCTGGGCTCTGAGAGAGGGGGAGAGAGAGAGAGAGAGAGAGAGAGAGAGAGAGAGAGAGAGAGAGCGAGAGAGAGCGAGAGAGAGAGAGAGAGAGAGAGAGAGAGAGCTGATAGAGCCTTTTGAATTTCGTGCCCTTACAAGGTGTAAGGGCTTTTCTAGGGTTTATATGATTCGCAGCTCCAGGTGGCTCTTCTTACGAGGGAGGATCATGTCTGATCACGTCTTGATTGGAGATGCTTGAGAAAGTCATGTCGGTGTTACATGGTATCTGTGAATAACAACGAGGAAGGTCCCAAAGAAGCACGCAAACAGAAACACCAGCACCCGGAATGCAGTTCAGGGTGGTGCTGCAGTTCCTGCAGCTCACCTGTCACAAGGTTCTCTGCCAAGAGTCGTTATTGACGAGATGCACAGGAAACAGCCCAGCATCCGTTCCCGCGACGCGATCAACAACAAAGAGAGTTGCAGCACCTACGCAGTAGGTTTAATTCGAAAGTTTTCGTCCTGAAGGCAAGACGAGGAAGAACCTCAAACGTGCGAGCAGGAAAGCGAGACTCGAGACTCGGAAACAGACCAATGCGAGCCTGAGCATGCATGGCTGTGGACACAGCGTCGCATTCATGAGATGCCTTGGAGTGCAGCACAAGCTGAAGTGTGGCAGCACACTGGAAATCTTGGAAACCCAACTAGGAGATGCAAGCGAAGCTACAGAATAGGAAGAGGGGCTGGGGCTTCTCAACGCAAAGGCAACAGCCATCACAGGAAAAGTTCGGCCTCTGGCGAAAGCCGCCCTAAAGCGGAAGTAGCGCCGTGCCGCCGGGCGGCTGGTGGCCCTGGAAGTCCTCGAAGCTGGAAGCTCCCGCTTGCAGCTCGGGCCACCACTCGGGATGCTCCTCGGCAAGGAGGAGCTCTCTTCTTTCGCTTTCAAGCTTTTTCGGTGCCTTCTTCGGTACCGGGAGATGTCCGGCCGCCAAAGAAGACTACGCGGCCACTAGAGAGGTTTACTCGGCGCTGGGATTACTACGGGGGCCGGCGAGGCGGGGGCTCGAGTGCGAATCGATCACTACTCATGGCAGCACTCTTCGCTTCGCAGTCCTAGGACTTATAGAAGCTTCCAGGCGAACTTCTAAGAGGCTTTGTTGGGCGTCCACAGCTTAGTGATGGGAACAGGGCCAGGAGCAACTTGCACCATGACGAAAACTCGGCCAAGGTGCATAGATCCCGTCGTTCATGGCCTCGGATATACACGGCCGAAGCAAAAACGACCTACAGCGTCGCGCGTAGAGCGAAACCTTAATCTTAGAATACAACTCGAAAGCACTTAGCAACGAGGCCGTCCAGAAATCACACAGTTGCCACGCTTTCTTTTCAGTTGTTTGTGCTCAGAACGACGGAACAAACAAGGGAGGCCACGGCCAGTTTTTGGTATGGATCTGGTCAGACGCCACGAGGATCCTAGGTAAGCAAAGAACAGCCCCAAAATCTGCGACTCCTCTGTGGAAGTATTTCGACTCTCACAGCTTACGTAGGTTGTTGAGTCTGCCCGGGTGTGGCATGTCCCTCTCCCTCCCCGGTCCATGTATTCCACTTCTCAGAATACGTCAGAATACCACCGAAACCGGAACCACGGTGAAGAACCGGTAAGGGCATTTGAAAGCCGGGGACCTGGCAACTTCCAGTCGAATGGACCTTTAAACCCCCCTTCACAGCCGCTGGCCGCTGGCAGGGTGCCCAGGTCACGGCAGTCCAGCACTCATCGCCACGCTGCGCCGTCTCGCACGTCATGGTCTTGTCCTTTGCTCCGACGAACACCCCAGGCCCCAGCCCCCTGACTCTCATCCGAGCGATCCAGGCTCAAGGCAAGGGACGATTTTGCCGCTGCCGCTGATCCAAGCTTCCTTCGTCGTTCGGACAATTCCGTCCACAGTGTTTGCCCAGTTCTTGCTGCCTTGCACGGGGCAGTCGGGAGCTTTAGCCTTGACGCACTCGGCGATGTGGAACCACCCGCAAATGCGTGTACGCATGTCATGTAGGGTGCAGATGTGTAAGCGCACAAGGAATCCCTATATGTCATACGTGTCAGCACATCTTCGTCACGGCTCGCCCTCGCCTTCGGCCGTTTCGGCGGTGGCCGGAGGCGCCTCCGGCTCCGCCGCGGCCTCCGCCTCCGCCTCCGCCTTCTTCGGCGGTTTGGGCGCTTTCTCCGTCGCCTCCGTCGCCGTTTCCGTGGCGTTCGCAGCCGCGGGCCTGGGCGACCGAGCACAAATTCGTCCTGATCCCTCTCACTACAGTCGACAATCCGGGAGATCCCTGTGCCCGCTCCGACTCAGCACAACGAGGCTCTTCTCTTCAAACCCTGTGCACGGCACCCCCAAGTAGCACAGCCGCTGGGTGCTTGTCAAAATTAGGGTCCCTTTTTGGGTCCTTAGTATAATACGGCACCGATTTTTTCGGTATTTTTCGGGCACCCAAAAAGGCACCCTAATTTTGACAACCACACATATGCATTATGTCTACGGGCAGTCCCGTACTACGATACACGTTGGAGGAAGTCCTGACAAGGCCGGCACTCGGTCACGGTGGCAGTCGCTGGCTCTTCCGGGCCCTGGGTCAGCGAAAGAATCATCGTGAAGAGCTACAGACACACCCACACGCGTATCAATACATACCTACATATATATATGGGCGCACCCCTATTTGGGGTCCCCTACGTTTTTCGCTACATCATCTGACTGAGCTCTAACCACCAGACTAGGTTATAACCAGCCGATTAGGTTATAACCAGCCGACTAGGTTATAACCAGTCGACTAATTTATAATCAGGTATACATTATCGAATATAGTATTATGCTTGTATGGAGCAGCTCGATGGCAATGGTGTACGCCATCGACTACAGTATTATATCCGGTTTGAAGACTAACCCGGGAAGTTGCAACAACCCATGCTTTCAGAATGCTGAAGCCCGCACAACGCTAAGAATTCTATGACACCCTCGTCGAAACCCCGTTACAATGTGCTAAAATCCTTGCCTTGAAGCCGTCGATATATCTTCGTAATTCATCTTTGTGTGACTGTATCTAAACCGCTGTATTTCAGTTTTTTCCAACAAGCGCGCTGTAGTCATTAGTCTGGCTCAGTCATTCCTTATCGCGAACTAGATTTTGGAACGAAAAGCTTTCCATCTTTGTACTGTAATGCCACAATCCCATCAAAGTCTCTGTTGTTGGACGCATTGCTATCACGTTTTGGCAAACTGAAAGCTTTCAATGACATATCCCTGTGCCCCTATGTGATTGCTTTTCAACACTGGTATATCCGGTAGGTATATTTGAGTGGTGCATTCCTTAATTCTGTATGACGGCTGCCCCAAGCCAACATTGAAAACTTGCACACTACAAGCTTAGCAAACGTTGTACAGTGTTTTTCCTGGGGGACGACATGAAGCGTCGCTTCTTAGGCTTGGCACTGTTTCTATATGCTGAGTGATGACCGACTGAAAACCAGAAGGCTACATCTAGCTTGTCCGAATTTCTGTTTGTGTTCTTGTGAATATTGACTGAAGGTCGAATAGAAGCCATGGTTCCCAGTCCAGAACTTGATCCTCGTGTTAGAAAAAGTGGTAAACACACACCGAATCACTCCTCGAAACAGGTTCATCCATGTAGTTGGAAGTAGCATTGCTAGGAATTTTCTACGTACCGAGCGAGGAAATTTAACAGTTTGCAAGTTGCACATTTTGTTTCGCTCACCACACATATTCTTATCAGTTTTGTCTCATCGAAATCCTGCTTCCTTGGAACGGTCTTTGAACATAGCGTTGCAACCAGTTCGCCTATGTACGAAGTGATGAAACCTGACCACGCTGTAAACTTTGAAATACTGTCTCTCCCTACAATGACGTCATATCAGTCGTATCTCAACTTTCTGTGTACCGTGATTTTCCAATGTTGACAACACTTACTGACCTACTGTAGTCCCGATAGAGCCCCTTCATATTCCGCATTTTGATTCCTGGGTCAGTGACATGTTAGTGGCTATTCTCTCAATGTGTACATAGATCTCATAAACCCGATGTACTGGAACGGACAGACCATTATGTAAAGTCCGCCATATAGCCTTTCCGCTAAAGTTGGGGAATGCGCATATGGTCCCCGGAATTTTGTCTGTTACAAAGCACTGCATCATGCCTCAACAACCGAATACATTCCAATTACCTCGGACCCTCTATTCTTCTAGTCCTTGTTTAATTTCATTGCGGTTACATTCCCCCTGAAACACCGAAACTTTCGAACGTTTGGATCTAGGTGTTGATGAAGTAGCGGTGGCACAGATTTGCTTCGTAAGGTTTATAGTGTGCAACAAACAATCAAGGCACCCCAATTTACAAACCACAACCCTGGTATGTAAGCCCCCCGGTGTTTCGACACAGTTTACCAATATTGCAGGTTCACCATCAAGTGTTGGGTTTGTTTGGGTTTTACTGCTTAGGGTTTGGCGCTAGGGTTTGGGGGAGACTTAAACTTAAACTATTATACCGGCTCGCTTGCGCGATACGACACGGAAGACTTAAACCATCAAACCAATAAGCCAATCCATTTGGTCTATAGGGCACGGCGGGAGTCTTCAAACCCTGAACGTATTTTGCCGCCTGGTTATAACCTCTGTCCCCGGTTATAACCAGGACACCTGCGTAGTAGGCAGCTCTAGACCCAACACTAAACCATTAAACCATTAACAAACCATTAAATTAGTACACCGTTAAACCAATCCTTTCCCCCAAAGGACCCAAACCAATAAACCATTAAACCATTAAACCAATCCTTTTGCCCCATGCCACTAAACCATCAAACCATTAAACATATCCCTTTACCCCATACCACTAAACCACTAAACCACTAAACCATTAAACCATTAAACCAATCCTTTCCCCCAATGCACCTAAACCACTAAACCATTAAACCATTAAACCGTTAAACCATTAAACCATTCCTTTTGCTCCATACCACTAAACCACTAAACCATTAAACCATTAAACCAATCCGTTTGCTCCATACCACTAAACCACTAAACCATTAAACCATTAAACCAATCCGTTTGCTCCATACCACTATACCACTAAACCATTAAACCATTAAACCAATGCTTTCGGCCCATACAGGGATGTGTCTCTCTCTATAGGGGAAAATGATTGGTTTAATGGTTTAATGGTTTAATGGTTTAGTGGTTTGGGTCCATTGGGGGAAATGATTGGTTTAATGGTTTAATGGTTTATTGGTTTGGGTCCATTGGGGGAAAGGATTGGTTTAATGGTTTAATGGTTTATTGGTTTAGTGGCATGGAGCAAAAGGAATGGTTTAATGGTTTAATGGTTTAGTGGTTTGGGTGTGCAAAAACCCAGGGGACCCCATATAGGGGGGTACCCATATATATATATATATATATATATATACATCCTTATTTTCTATACATGTGTGTATATGACTATGTGCGTGTGTGTGCATGTGTGCATACGGTTTGGGTGTAAGGTACGAAGTCTGATTCATGATTGGGCTGCTGTCTTGGCGAGTACTAAACTTCCTTCACGGAACCTTCAGGGATCCCTATAGTCTGCATTGTAGTTCCCTTTTGGGGTACCTTTAGACTTATAGGATCCTTAATATATACTTGGTTAAACCAAAAAAGAATTAAAATGGAGACGATAGGTAGTCTATGAGTGCGGGGGAGCCTGGCGCTGGCCCGTTTTTGCCTCTTGCCTTGCTAGACGAACCTACGACGCAGGGTAATCCAAACACAAAAGACCCATTGGCACTGGCACAGCTTCTTCGCACGGTTTCGGCTTTGAGGGGAGCTTGGAGGAAAGCCTGGCAAAGAAAGCGAATTACCAAAGCCCAGGCCGCAAAAGTTTTCAGATCTGACATTGAAGACTTGGCCGTGTCTTGCAATTGGTTGCGAGCATCTCGAGAGGTGCAGGTTCTCTTTGCCGCACGAAGCATGTTTCATGCCCCTGGCGCCTTGTGAAGAACGCAGGTAGCTTTGAAATCCGCACCTCGGAGCGCGACTCGGCTGGGACTTCTTCAGCGAACCATCTGGCCCTAGCCGAGAAGCCTACATATCGCCTGCCCTTGCATGGACATGCCCAATTCCTAGCACGTACAGCCTGAGCCTGAGACAGCAGTTGCCGAACTTCTCGCATTCCGGCGTGCACCTGCCAATAACTTCCGCTGCGTATGGGATTCATCGGAGGGTGTGTTCACTGCTGTGGGCTTGAACACTCCTGCTTTGCAAGTACAAGCGGTATGATGGTATGGAACACCTAAGGCTGACACCAGGCACCGAGCCGGTAAACCTTCTAACGAAACCTTCTAAACCCGAAGCCCCACTTGCCGCAGGGCAGCTGGCAGGGATGGTGGTGGACGTATTTGGTCCCACAGCCGAAGTTCGCGCAGGTCGGCTTTGTCAGCACCTGTACCGTTGCAGCCCTCCGTTACCTATTTACCTATGTGCATTGCTCCAGGACTTTTGGCAGTAAACGCTCAGAAGGCCGCCTTTTTCTTTGCCTGCCGCCTACGAACCTACGATTCAGGATCTCTTGCTTGGCCACTAGACCTCTACAGCCTCTGACCACAACAGTACGACTTGTCGCGGAGCTGCTCAACAGAGGGAGGCGGATAATGTCAGTCAGCCTTCTTGAAAAAATCGTTTATCTGTTGGGCATCTCTGTGGACTTAACAAAATCTCAGCAGGCATGGACTATTGTCTTCTCAAAGACTCCTCTGCTTCCTCAGAATCTACATCAAGCCCTACATCAACAACAACCTGCATATTAAAGTGACTGGCTGCCTTCGCTGAGCGTGCGAGGCATGTGGCCTTGTAGTCGCTGCCTGAGTGGGGCAACTCGTTAATACTGGTTCTTCTAGCATTCCATCATAGAGTGTAAAGTGCGGCAGTCCGATGTCAGGGATGTCATGCTTGCGATGAGATTTGCAAGCATGCCACAGGGAGGACAACGTTTTGATCACTGCATTTCAAGCCCAAGATTAAGGCCGCACCGGATTGTCGTGGTGAGAGCTGATTGGACGGGCGAGGGTTCGGCGAGCGAGGATCGAAACGTTGCACGGTGTCATGCTGTTGTTCAATGCTTTTGCTGGTGTTGCGGCTTTCGTCGAAGCTTGCCCTTGGCGTCGGGCGTCGGGATGAACTGTTACAGTGTTACAGGCAGGGCATGACAGAGCTCTACAGCATGCTTCCGCCTTCGTTCATGGAGTTGTCTTGCTGTCTTGTTCCGGCGTGTTCAACTGCTATCGGCCGGCATACACACATACCTGAAAGAAGCCCCCACTGGCCCGGCATGTTGTAGCTGCTAGCTTCTCTTCTGTTGTCTTTGAAAAATCCGAAACGCACTGGAATAAGCCATGATTTCTCAAGGGCGGGTGGGAGGAGCGCAGCCCCGCAGCGCTGGAAGGAACCAAGACGGCGGGGAAGGAGGTGCGGGAGGGCAGCCCGCAGCACCGGAAAGAGCCAAGATTGCCGAAAGACGGGGAAGGAGGTGCGGGCTGGCAGCCCGCAGCACCGGAAAGAGCCAAGATTGCCGAAAGACGGGGGGGAAGGAGGTGCGGGCTGGCAGC